ACAGTATGAGGTCAGAGGGCGAGGTCACAGGTCAAAAATTGAAAATGAAAATGGATTTTGAAAACGAAAATGGATTTTAAAAATGAAAATGGAATTTGAAAACGAGATTTTAAAAATGAAAACAGATTTTAAAAACGAAAATTGATTTTGAAAATGAAAATGGATTTTAAAAATGAAAACGGATTCCAAAAATGAAAATGGATTTAAACAATTGGTTTTTAAAATAAAAACAGAAACCAGAAACGAAAGTGGGTTTTAAAAATCGATTCCATAACCGAAAATGGTGTTTAAAAAAGGATTATAATAAAATAAAAATGAGTTTTCAAAATGTAAATGAATTGTAAAAATGGTTTTATAAAATGCCATGTTGTGAGCCACCTCGGTTGCCGTCGGTACAAAGATCAGACGGTGATTATCCCTGAGCGAACTACACTCACACAAACACAGTCGACCAGCTGTCCCCTCCAAATCCTTTGTTTTTTTCTGAATCCCTAGTTTTTTTAGACATGTGCACCTATGGTCAATCACAAAAAATAACGTCGGGGTATCACAACGTTTCTTGAAAACTCAGACCACCAGAAAATGATTATCCATGGAACTATACAAAACATCTTTTTACAGCTCTATAAGTAGTCTGTGGTAGCTGTAAACAATGCAGTATGGTGGACATTATTATTGATTAGTATTTATTGATTAGTATTTATTTTGTAATTTAGTATGCAACCATACAGCTGTACCATTACAGATGATGATTATAATATGATTTAAAACAATAAGATCCTACTATTTTTTGTTTCGTTTTTTTTTAAAACATGTATTTAATTACTTATGTATTTTTCATATATTCTAATTTTCAAGTTTTACAAAAGCCCACAACGTATTATAAACAACAACGTATTATGATACAAATTAAATACAATCTTAAATTAATACACGCCGTACAATAAATCAGATTGGAAAAAATATTTAACTTTATAAACCCTCTAGGTCCTGTATGTCGACACTGAATGATTATGCAAATGAAATGAATTTGTCCAATGAGAAAGCGAGGCTAAATACAAGTCGCATCGTTTTTCAGTCAACGAACACTCGTAATTCCGTTTGTGTACAAGGTACGTTTTGTTCTCGTCTGACATTATTATGGCTCGTACCAAGCAAACCGCTCGCAAATCAACCGGTGGTAAGGGTAGCAAAAGTTTACGGAAGAAGTTGGCTGCAAAGGTTGGACGAAAATCGCCTCGTGACAAGTCTGGTGACGTGAAGACTAAACCACATCGCTACAGACCAGGCACAGTCGCTCTTCGTGAAATCCGCCGTTACCAGAAGAGTACAGAGCTGCTGCTTCTAAAAATGCCATTCCAGCGCCTTGTTCGTGAAATCACCGCACAGTTCACCAGTTCTGTCAGGTACCAGTCTGCTGCCATCGGTGCATTACAGGAAGCGGCTGAAGCATATATGGTTGGTTTATTCGAAGACACCAATCTGTGTGCAATCCACGCTAAACGCGTCACCATTATGCCCAAGGTTCACCTGCTCGCCGAATCCGGGCGGTCCTTAGACGCTCGGACACAACGGTCATTTACTGGACTTCTTTTATTTCCTCAGTATGATACGTTTCCATTAACGAGTATCGCGTAAAATTTCTTCCGATTGTCAACATATATCAGTGTTATATTATGTGTGTATATTGCGCGCCGGAAAATAGAATGAATGTAATCAACATTCGGAAAAAAATGACATGCATATCTGAAGATGAAACCTTTTCTGTTTTGTAATGCATTTCATGTTTACAAATAGTGAAGCTATTATCCTATTATTTTGAAAAAACATATTTTCGTAATTGTCGTCTTTGTTTCAATCATCTTAGTTTCACAACTGTTTTGTATTTTACGACCAGAATATGGACGCAATTGTTGTTGTTGTTGTTGTTGTTGTTGTTTATATAAAATGAACTGAGTGAACATCGTTCTACCTAAATGTAGCGCTTGATAAAAATAACATTAGTTTAATAATGATTACTAAATAATATGACCGTGGTTTGATTTATATATTTTTACTTGCCAATTATATGAAATAAAACATCTTCCCACTGACTGTGTGACGTAATATCTATTTTTTTTTATTTGTATGCATGAACATGAGCTCCGTTTTGCACATTTGGAGTATTGCTTTATATCTCGGAGTTGAATACAATAACCACATTAAGAATTTATGGCTTTTCCCTCAAAATGTGTTTTCTGGACGCGTAGTATGCTTCAGTCAATGGAAATTTATGTTTATTTGGTCGGAAAATAAGAAATAAATTATCTACATTTTGATGGGCAAAAACACCCACTGTTACCATGACAACAGTTATAGTGAAACCGATTTTTGTAACCATGGTGTTTGGCGGTGACTGGATATAATGGAGCACTAATCTAGGGGCAACATAATTCGATCTCTACGACACTTTGACGGCCATTTGTGTTTCGACGGCCATTTGTGTTTCAGATCTATTATTGCATCTTAGTTGAGCACTATTAACAAGCAACATTACGAAACCTTGCCAGTAATGTGTCTGTAGAATAGCCCTGTGTGGGACTATAGTGAAGGCACTGACTTGCATACCAGTGCGAAAGCCGTATTTCACACGTGTATTTGTGTGCCAGGGGTGCACAGTGACGTTATTGTACTAGTAGTTTATCGCTGAATTGGCTTGATCCTAGACCTTAGAAAACAAGAAACACCACCCAATTAACACCTAAATGAGCCTGACAACAAAGGTATGTCAACGCCAATGTAACATCCTCTCTTTTTCCGTAGTTTTTATTCCACTATGAAAATAGTGAAGGAAAACAAAAAA